CTCACTCCCAGCCAGCTGGCAAAGTGGGGACAGAGGCAACCCCGCTGGTGGTGGGGGGGGATTAGTGCAGCCCCTGGGGGGGCTGGCAGCGAGACCCCGTACCCTTTAACAGGCACGCAGGGCTGCCCTCCGGTGTGGGCACGGCACAGGTGCAAAGGGAGATGTCTGTCCGGGCACTGCTTCTGGTGTAAAAAACTGCAACCAGGGCCCGGCCGGCGTGGCTCAGTGGCTGAGCGTCGACGTATGAACCAGCAGGCCACGGTTTGATTCCCGGTCAGGGCACATGCAGGGTTGCGGGCTCGATCCCCAGGAGGCAGCCAATCAATGACTCCCTCTCATCAGTGATGTTTCTAACTCTCTCCCCCTTCCTCTCTGAAGTCAATAAAAAATATTTTTTAAAAGAACTGCACCCAGGGACTGGTCCGATTGCAAACTTAACCAACGCCACCTCTGAAATAAAAGCTGATGCACACAGACCTCCCATGGGAGCTGCGGGCTGGTCTCCACATCACGGAGGGCGAAGGGCTTGGCTGGTTGACTGTCGGTTTCTGCCTCCGATTAGCAACGTTCCTTGCCCTCCCTGCCCCCCAGACCCAAGGGCGGCCAGGTGTGCAGGTCTTTAGGGCCGAGCGGTCGGCTGGTGCCCAGTCCCAGGCGCTGAGGCTTCGGCTGCCTCCTTCCACCCTGAGCCCACAGAGCGCCCACCCCACCCCACCAGGCACCCGTGGAAAACGCCAGGAACACGCTCCGTGACCTGAGGCCACGCAGGGCTCTTTCTCCTGCATAAATCGAGGCTGGGACAGGCTGCCCCTCGTCAGAATGGTCCAAACCGTGTCCGCTGCACCCAGCCCCCGGGGCTCTTGGGCCAGGCTCTGGGGCGGGGTCCCAGGTCGGTCTCTGCCTGTGTCCCCGGAGGTCTCAGGCAAACCGCAAGCTGAGACCTCGTGAGGCACCTCCGTGTGCTGATTGTTGCCTAAACACTGCGGGTCCCATGGGTAGTATTTCCCCGTGACACAAATCACACCTCCCTCCTGCCAGCCTGCGGCCCCTGGGCGGGGACACACCATCACATTAGACTAAAGGCTGCAACGTGTTGCTTGTCCTGCCTTTCTCCCGGGCCCGCCTTGGGGACGCCTCTGCAATAACGAGGCGGTCTTTGCAGGGACCCTCCGACCGCGGGAGCTGCGCTGGAGGGACTGTGCTGCTTAGTGGCTGCCAGACTGCGGCGGGGCGGCTTCATCTCAGCCCCTGACCCTTCCAGCTTGCGAGGGGCGCTATCTTTTTTTTTTTTTGCCTCAGTCGTATGTCGGATTTTCAGCCCACAGGACCAGCATGAACACGCTCATTTCAGCAGCGATGACCTACCATTTGCATAGAAAGCGGCATTGACCGGAGCATTTAGCCTGAGTGTGTGCCTGTTGCCCGCACTCTGAATCGCTTCTGTACATTTTAAACTACTGGCACGTGTGACAAAACACAAGTGGAAGTGAGGGTGCACTGGTCATGTTCCAGGGTTCACTGAGGGACTGCATTCCTGTTGCTTAAAACATGTTTAGGGTGTTTCCCTTGCATTCCTATGAGCCAGTCCTGTCTGGTATGTGACCACTAGCTGCACGTGGCTCTTTAACGTGAACTGATTTGAGAGAGAGAGACATTGATGTGAGAGAGAAACACCGATGGGCTGCCTCCCACACCCCCAGCCCTGGGATTGCACCGCACCTGGGGGAGCCCCCTGACCCAGAATCAAACCGCCACCTATCTGATCATTTAATTCCACTGAAATCGGTCACATTTGTTTCTTCAAATAAATCACCTAAACATTATTTTAGCCAAACTGAGCGTTCATCGCTGGACCGATGCCGTGAGTGTGGCAGGCTGGCCCGCATCCCGTGCTGCCGGTTCTGTGTGTCACGGGGAAACACTATCCGAGGGGACCCGCAGTGTTTGGGTGTCAGAACCCGAGTGATAATAAGCAGCGAGGAGCTTGCAGGGTCTCAGCTTGCGGCTACATCTCCCAAGAAACTGATCCCCCCGCCAATGGGTTAGGACCAACTTCTAGAAAAACGTAAGTGCCAGGCAAAGCCTCAGCAGTCCTCCCCCAGCAAGGAGCCCAAGCCGCCCAGCTCTGCGCCCATTAACAGCAAGGACGCCTCCCGCCTCCGCCCACAACGGGCTGCCCAGCTCCACACGATGGGAGCCAGAGGAACTGCCTGCAGCCTCTTTCCACCCCAGGGGGGCCAGGTTTCACCCCCAAACCAGGGTCCCCGGCTGGCGGCCCCTCCCCAGGGAGCAATCCTTTCCCCACAGCCCCACCACAAGCGAACCTTCCTTCTCCCCACCTCCTTCCCAAGCAACACCAGAGTTGGCAAAGGTCACCCCAGGTCTTTCCAGGACTTCGGTTGAAGGGAACCCATTTCACCAAATTAATGGAAAACGTGCCGAGTCGCAGAGGGCCCCCTCAGCTCCGCGTGTGGCACAGTGGGCCTTGCGGTTAAAAGACACGCACTGTCCTGCAGGCCCTTATGAACACGCTCTAAGGGTCAAGCCCCCAGTGGGGCGCAGCCTCCGGCAACTAGAAACGAGTTTCTCATTTGCTCAACAGAGAGATCACTTTGCAGCTGCGTTCGAGGAAGACAAAGCCAGAAAGTGAATTTTCACCGAGTTAAACTGT